ACCAGAAAGGAATCATGTACTATGAGCTACTGAAACCGGGCGAAACTGTCAATGGGCATCGCTACCAACAACAACTGATCAATTTGAACCATGCATTGCTCGAAAAACGGCCAGAATGGGACACGAGACACGAACGAGTGATATTGCAGCACGACGTGCCATCGCACTTCCATCGTCCAGGACACCATCAAAACGCTGAAATGGGATCTGCTACCGCACCCGCCGTATTCGCCAGACCTGGCCCCTGACTATCACTTGTTCCGGTCGATGGCGCATGGCTTGGCTGGGCAACACTTGGCCAATTTCGAAGAAGTGCAAAATTGGTTGGATGAATAGTTTTGGTCCAAAGACGCGTCGTTTTATCGTCGGTATTCATGTATTGTCAGAGAGATGGCAAAAATGTGAAGCTAGCGAGGGATGATACTTTGAATAAACCATTGTATGTATTTCTCTTGAAATTTTCCATTTTTCATTGATCAAAAAAACCTGGAAACTTAGTTGCGCACCTAGTACGATATCTCGCTAACTGTTTGTCGGGATAAAAAATGGTACTAGACTTTTCTATTCCACTTGGTCTCAAGAATATATTGTTACAATAGCGCCCTGACTTTTGTTAATTTGATGATTTTGAAATTTCGAAAGATCGATAAATTAACAAAAAATAGAGCATTATTGTACCAATATATTCTTGAGATCAAATAGAATAGAAAAATCTAGTACCATTTTTTTGTCCCGACAAACAGTTAGCGAGATATCGTAAGTTAAATATTGAAAAAGTTACCAAGTTATCTTTAAATATCTCAAAAATAGGCAAATAAAGAAATGTTTCAAACAAAAGTTGGTCAAACAAAAGTTGGTCAAATTAATTGGTGGTAAAAGTCGGTGTAATAAAAAATTGGAATTTCCACTTAAAATTTTTATGTCGACCCTGATAACGTTTCTCAAGGTCATTCCAAGGTCAAACAATTATTAATATCTGATAGCTTTTTTTAAGCCCTACAACTTTTGCTTCAAACATAGTTTTAAACAATCATTATTTTTTGAAATATTTAGCCGTTCCGGAACTTTTGGCAGATCCTGTATACAATATGGGAAAAAAGTTCCGAACCCCTGAAATATCCCAATAGAATGAGATGTAAAAAAATATTAAATACGAAAGTAACAGGGCAAATGGGGCATTTGACGGACTTTGACCTTCACCTAAGGATTAAATTTAGGAGTTATTTCAAAATCAACTTGGAACTTTCAAATGGGATATTTTAATTCCAGAAGTGAAAAAATAGAAAATTCTACATTTAGATATTTGGTTGTTATGGCAGAGCTCGTCAAAATCTGCACTCTTAGCCCGATTTTCGGCTTGCTCTGCTTACCGCTGTTTCTTTTATGTCTACCTTCGTGCGTCTACTTTTTTTTCTGACGAGGAGGAAATCCATTATGGGTACCCCAGACCTTCGGAGAAAAATCTGGGGTTATGCCGGACTCCTACCGGCTAAAATTACCCCGGGTGGTTTTGCGAAGGGACGTTGACCAGAGTCTAGATGCCATGTAACTGCGATCCGGGCTCCGCGTCCTGACGCTGTTACACCGTCTATCCCCGAGGGGGAGGAGAGGAGAAGCCAAACCGAAGCTCTTCAGCCACCCTCCTCCTTCTCACGCTCCCGTCTGTAATGCCAGGAAGAAGGTGGCCGAAACCTCTACCGCTATTCCCAGCCAGACGGAACGCTGCCTTGGTGTTGTGCAACATGGTGAGCCACCTCTACCTCGCCACGCTTTTGTTAGGAAGATGAGATGGGGGACCCGGATCACCCGCCCGAGGCCCCACTCCCCAACCCAACGGGGTTATAAAGATAGAAATAGAATAGCTAAGCCGGTTCTAACTCAATTTCTAAAATATTTTTGCAAAACCGCTTTTTTTAATTAATACCTCCTCCCTAGAATTTTTTGCTTCCATGGACAAGATAGCGGCCATGACGTCACGAGAGAAAAAATTGCCGGGCTGCTGCTAGACTCGAACCCGGGCCCTTGCGGTTACTATCCAATGCTCCAAAACTCCTAGACCACCGTCGCCTGTTGCTATTAGCCGTCTAGTGAAGGTTCTTAGAGTGTGTATGATGACGTCGCGCATACGTCAAAGAAAAGATAAGTCGAAACTAGGTCAGAGTCAAACCCCAGGCCCTTCGTTTACTGCGCCATATCGAACATCTCTCGAACGTCTATCGAACATCTGTCGAACATCTGTCGAACGTCTATTGAACGTCTATTAAACGTTTCATGAACTTCTAATAAGCATCATACCGCAAATAAAGAACTGTATTTTTATCAACATAATTAACATATAAAATCCTAAGAAAGGGGATAAGGGAAAGTTGGAAGAAAGGATGTGGTCTAAGTAAAAAAGATGTATCATAATATAACAAAGTAATTTATTTCTCAGAATAAACATCTCACAGCTTCGCGCATGATATCTTCCGAAGCACATGCCAGCAGCTCGCAATCAATAAGTGACTCACCGTCAGAGCCAGCGTTTTCACGTATCGCTTTTACCGCATAGCACATTTCGGTAATTTTTTTTTTTCGAAGAACTTTTACAAAAGTTTGAATTTTTGAACTAACGAGATATGACTGTTCAGACAACTGCGTATATATATGATCAATGCAATATTCATAAGTAAATAATTTGTTCATTGTAGCAGGACTCAAATACAAACACTTAGAAGATTGCATTAATTTTACAATTTTTAAACCATTTAGCTCGAACAATTTCATTCCTAAATCTCGAATCCATAGCAGAAAGTACGATGGGTTGCGCGCTTCCAGAAGTCGTTGTACAGCACCACGATTTTCCATCAGTTTTCCTCAAGTGTCTGGATGTAATATTAGTTGATTACTGCGATTGTCACCGAGGATTATTTCCGCGACGGGTGGTCGAGATTGTACATTGAGTCCAATTTCCAAATACTTATGAGACGTTGCAGTCAAAGCATATCTGCGCCCCAGGATGCGAGTAGCATGACATGACTCAGGAATGTTATAAAAATACAATGTAAATGTTATATACATTTAAAAATTCGATCGGGAAAGTGCACACAAAGTACCAACCAAATTCACATTGATACTCCTTACGTTCCATTTTGCATGGTGGCTCCTCGAAACACTCGTCGTTTTGTTTCCACCCGGAGTGATCCTCATCCTCATCCGCATGTTGAACAGGCGTGTAATAATTTGCTTGTGTAGCGTTCACTTCGACATCGGACATTTTGGCTTACTGTATGTGGAAGCTACTGTCGAACCTTGAACAGAGTGACTGTCGAATCTTGTCTTTACAGAGCGACTGATGCAGGAGCTTCTTTAACACAGGCAAGTTTCCCACATACACGCACACACACGCACACACACGCACGCACACACGCACACACACGCACGCACACACGCACACACACGCACGCACACGCACACACACACACGCACGCACACACACGCACGCACACGCACGCACACACACACACACACGCACACACACACACACACACACATTTTGACCAAAATATTTTTGTCAGTCGTCGACCCCAGACTGCTGATACCAAATCGTAGGTCTACAAGGTTATTGTGGTATTAGATAAAGAAAGATATGGACATCTTATCACAGAGTCCTGTGAAGAACTTAGTGCTGCATCATGTAAAGATATGACTATTTTTGGCCAGATTTTTCCTGGAGTTATTTATCGAAAATTGTTTAAAATGGGGGGACTAGACTATAGAAGCGAACGAGCGAAGATGCTACCCACGCCCCAGCATCAATTGCTTATTGTGGCCCGTGTTTGAGTAATATCGAAGAAAATATTGAGAAGGTGTCATCACTGATTTTTCAAATATTAGCGAGAAGAGTGGCAAAAGTGAAGCATATAGATTTAATTTATGTGTATTTCCCAGTCAGAGCTCTTTCAGTATGGATCGCGAAAACATAGAACATGAAGAAGTAGAAGACGAAGTAGAAGACGAAGAAGATATAAATCATATACTCACAGATGATAGTAATTATGATAGTGACAATAGTAATCAATTAGTGAATGAAAAAGTGAAGAAATTGGAAGTTTCAGAAATTAATACTTTGAATGGCCAAACAAAAGTGTGCTGCATTTATTTTTCGTATAATTCTGGAGACAATCTACACATCATGTTTTTTTGCTGTTTTGCACATCATGTTTTTTTGATGGTGTCCGCGATACAGTTACAGAAATATTTGCAGTACGCGAACACATCACCAAAAGACGCGATGTGATTGATGGTGTATTTTGTTCAAACTGTAGAAACCCCGTCTTCCAAATAACACCATGCAATCTGTGTCCAATATGTATGCACTAATATGACATATTTAAAACAGAATTCTATATACGGTACAAAACTTCTTCCAATACACTATACAAGATAAAAAGAAGCAGGAAGAATATGATAACGATATATGTGTGCGTGCGTGCGTGCGTGTGTGCGTATGTGCGCGCATTGTGGAAGACGGAAGAACTATAAAAAAGTTCAATACAGAACATTCTATAATTTAGTCGAATATGAGCAAAGTGCACGGTTATAGTGTGTTGATAACGTTAGCTGGAAGAAATGGCAGAATCATCATCATCATCACCATTATCATCATCCGTAGAACGCGAGCTGAGGAATCAGTCTGCTCGATTAAGCTCGTTAGACGAATACCTCGCATGGGAACAAAAGTGTGACGAGTGTCTTGAGTCGTTGGAACAGCATAGTCGAGCCAAACAGCCACGACTATCGGTTGGTTCAGCGCACTCGATGGTTGCTCGTATAACACAACTCGAGGACTTAAAAAATACTTTGCACAGACGTTTCGTATACGCAGGAGCCGGACATTCGACACTTTTTTGGCGAGAAATCGATACAGCGTATCAATAATCGCATATCAACCGGGGCGATTGTAAATACAGACTATATCGACCCTCTTCGATTTCTTCAAGATGCGAAGAATATCGTGTTCGAGCATGTGCGATGCGTTATGAAGAGACACGGTAGCGTAAAAGTGAATACTGTGTTTAACGATGAATTTGTGGTGGGTGATAAACGCGCGAACAAAAGCATCAATACGAGGAACGTTGAACTTTTTTCCACATCCGATCTAGACAATTGGTTCGCGATGCGTGTTATCGAACCTACCTTAGCGTCCTTGGAAGAATTCCAGGAACAAGATAGCGGGTGGACACTCTCACGCATACTCGATCTGACCGTTAACATTAACAAGTACAAACCGATGCGTGCGGGATGTCGCATCGAATTACCGCGCGAAATAAAAATGAAGCGAGCTGTGATCAGCGTGCAATCTAAAGACAATGCATGTTTCGCGTGGGCGGTGGTTGCAGCATTATATCCAGCTGACAAAAACGCAGATCGTCAATCTTCGTATCCACACTATACATCGGTGTTGAATATGCACGATATTGAATTTCCAATGCGCATAAACCAAATTAAAAAGTTTGAACGGTTGAACAATATCTCGATCAACATTCATAGTGTGGAGAAGAGATATGACGACGCGACAAAGAAAGAAGGAAACGTGGTCGTGCCCATACGTCTCACGAAACAGAAAATGGAGAAGCATGTCAACCTGCTGCATATCCCAGATCCGCGAGATGACAGCGCCGGACACTTCGTGTGGATCAAAAATTTGTCCCGACTCGTCAGTTCACAACTGAGCAAAAAGGAACACAAAAAACATATTTGCGACAGGTAATTATACGCTAAGAACGCAATGTGTAATGAATAATGTGACATATACCAATAACAAATAATGTTTTTCCAGATGTCTGCATTACTTTAGCTCGAGCGAGAAGCTTGAGAGCCACACAGTCGACTGTCAAAAAATGAATAATTGCGCCATCACCTTGCCAAACGATGATAACAAATGGCTCAGCTTCACCAACTACTGCAGGAAGGAGCGGGTCCCGTTTGTAGTTTACGCCAACTTGGAATGCATCCTGGAGAAGATACCGAGGGAAAAACAAACGAGTTCGTATGCGTATCAATATCATAGCGTATTTAGTATAGCGTATTACGTGCGATGTTCCTACGACGAATCGTTATCCGCGTATCGATGTCGTCGCGATCCGGATTGCATCTCGTGGTTTGTCAAAGAACTTGAAGAACTGGCACATCATGTAAAGGATATTTTGTCGACAAATGTCTCCATGGAAACTTTGTCGAAAGAACAATGGGAGACATTTCGGAACGCTACGCTGTGCCATGTGTGCGAGAAATCATTCGCAAAGGATGATACACGCGTGCCCGATCATTGCCACCTGACTGGACGGTACAGAGGTCCCGCGCATTCCAATTGCAATCTAAATTACCGAGACAGTTATTGCATTCCCGTAGTCTTTCACAACTTATCCGGTTATGATTCACACTTCATCATCAAAGATATAGCAACCGCGTTCGAAGGTTCAATCACTGTACTACCGATAACCAAAGAGAAATATATTTCGTTTACAAAGACTGTAGGAAACATGATGGATAGTAGGAATAAATGGAAAAATTGTATACAATTGCGGTTCATCGATTCGTACAAATTTCTTAGTTCTAGTCTCAAAAAATTGGTGTCTTTTATCGACAACGGCAAATTAAAAATTGTTCAGTCCGAATTTTCAAATTTGTCCGACAAGGATTTTGATTTATTGACACAAAAGGGTCTTTCCGTACGAATACCTTGATTGCGCGGACAAGCTGCAGGATCGATGTTTACTGCCGCGCGAGTCATTTTACAGTTCGTTGACGGGTGACACGATATCCAAAAGCGATTACGCGCATGCCACGAACATCTGGCGGTGATTCTCCATTCAAACCTTGGGTGAATATAGCGACTTGTATCTGAAGACTGATGTCTTGTTACTGGCCGATATTTTTGAAAATTTCCGCAATAGTTGCATCAAAAGTTACGGGTTAGATCCCGCGTATTTTTACACTTTGCCTGGTTTTACGTGAGATGCTATGTTGAAGCATATGGGCGTTAATTTCGAATTGCTCACTGATATCAACATGGTTATGTTCATCGAGCGCAGTATTCGCGGTGGTCTCAGTCAATGTTCCGGTAGATGCAAAGGTCAATAACAAGTACATACAGTCTTACGATCCATTGCAATCATCATCATACTTGATGTACTTCGATGTAAATAACTTGTACGGTTGAGCAATGTGTCAACTGCTTCCATACGCCGAATTTCGATAGGTTGATGATGTATCGAATTTCGACGTATCATCAATCGCGTTAGATTCACCCATAGGATATATTCTGGAGGTCGACTTGGAGTATCCGCAACATCTGCACGACGCGCACACTGACCTACCGTTCTGTCCGACGCGGAGCAAACCTCCGAACAAAAGGCAAGATAAGCTTCTCGCAACTTTATGCGATAAGCAGCGTTATGTGATTCATTATCGCAACCTGCAGCAGTGCACGCGTTACGGTCTTCGTATTGGAAAGATACATCGCATACTCAAATTTGCTCAATCCCCATGGCTCCGCGATTATATAGAACTTAACACGCAGTTTAGAACACGCGCGACAAATGATTTCGAGAAAAATTTGTACAAATTGATGAACAACACTGTATTCGGCAAAACCATGGGAAACGTTCGCAATCACGTAGACGTAATACTGTTAACAAAATGGGACGGACGATACGATGCTGAGGCAATGATCGCGAGACCAAATTTTCATAGCAGAAGTGTCTTTTCGGAAAATTTAATCGCCGCTGAGCTGCGTAAACTCGAGGTGAAATTCAACAAGCCGATCCATGTAGGTATGTGTATCCTTGACATATCCAAGACCTGCTTGTACGAATTTCATAACGAGTACCAGGTATGTAAATATGAAACCGGAATTTTTGTATAGAAAATTTACGTTTATTGTATGAAAATGATAAAAAATATTTTATTCGAAGTATTGCCCATCGTTAGCTATACATTTTTCCCACCTGTCTAACAATTTTTGGATGCCACGCCAAAAAAACTGTTGCTCTTTTGAGGCAAACTAGTCATCGAGCCATTTTCGTACATTTTCGTAAGAAGTGAAGCGCTGCTCAGCAAGTACGTGTCCCATCGATGCAAATAAGTAGTAATCGAACGGAGTCAAGTCTGGTGAGTAAGCCGCATGCGAAAGTATTTCCCAACTAAACGCCTCAATCGTTTCCTTCACCAGTTTTGCTGTGTGTGATGGTGCATTATCATGAAGCAAAATCACTTTGTGTTGCTTTTTTTGATATTCTGGTCGTTTTTCACGCAACGCTTGATTCAAATCGATCATTTGTTGTCGGTAGCGTTCAGTATTAACGGTTTCGCCAGGTTTTAGCAGCTCATAATAGATCACACCCTTCTGATCCCACCAAATACAGAGCATTGTCTTCCGTCCATAGCGATTTGGCCTTGCAGTTGATGTCGATGGTTCGCCTGGAGTTACCCATGATCTTTTATGCTTAAAATTCTCAAAATATATCCACTTTTCATCACCAGTCACAGTTTGATGGAGAAATGACTTTTTTTGTACCTGGGGAGCAGCATTTCGCAAGTGGTTTTTCGGTTTTCCTGCCGTCTTTCATTCAATTCATGTGGAACCCATTTTCCCATCTTCTGGACCTTTCCCATGGCTTTCAAACGTATGGAGACGGCTTCTCGTGTCACATTTAATTGATCCGCGAGTTGTTGTTGCGTTTGAGCGTCATCCTTATCCAAAAATACTTGCAATTCGCTATCTTCAAACTTTTTCGGTGGTCTTCCACGTTCTTCGTTTCTCGCGTAAAAATCGCCACGTTCGAATTTTTTAAACCACTCAAGGCACTGTGATTTACCAAGAGCATGTTCACCGTGAGCTTCGATGCGATTCTGCAGCAGTTTTCTTCAAATGGTAACAGAAAATCAATGCTGTCCGCAAATCGTAGCTTCCAGGCACAAAATTCGACATGTTCAACACTATTACAAACTATGCTGTTGTATGAAACTTGTATTGTTGTGAGTTGAAAATCTTTGTCAGATGTCAACAAATGGAAATGGCGCCAATAACGCGGTTTGACGGTAACTACATTGACAGCTAGGGTCATCTATGGGCAAATTCCGGTTTCATATTTACAGACCTGGTACATGTCTCCCCTGTATCAAAACAGATAAAGTAATGTACACCGATATTGACAGTTTAATCTACCATATCCAATGCGATGATATTTTCGAGCACATAAAACGCAATATTTCTAAGTTTGATACGAATGATTATTCCGCTGATAACGCATACGGTATATCGTACTGCTCTGAGTCCGTATGATGACAAGCGGTATATCGTACCAGACTCAACAGACACTTTACCATGGGGACATTACAGGATACTGTTGTAAACTAAAAAAAAGCGATCGTTGTACATACATGTATATTGTAAATGAAAAGCGATCATTGTACGTATTTGTTGTATATATTTGTTTGTAAGAAATATTGTAAACTATAATAAAAAGATGGTTTATTACAAGCTGTTTATAATAGGATATTGTAATAAAAAAATGTTTATAATAAAGAATTGGTTACAATACATTTTCTTTGTGTATCCAAGAGTTGTGCGAGTCGTCAAATCCCAACCATTTCGCCGCTTTTTCGTAACACCTTTTCCACGAGATAAACGTCAGGATTAGCAGCGCGGTGCAGTTCATATTCGTAAAATCCTCTGGCAATAGACTTTCCGCGAGAATCCTCAAGCATATAGGTCACTGGATTAGTTGTCTGCACTTTGACGATTTTAAACACTTCGGTTGTCCAATTCGGTGTATAACCTTTTTTAAAGATGATTTTGAATTTACTCATGCGTACCAGATCGCCTACTTTGAATCTCGCAGGCGCTGCGACCTTTACATTGTTGTAGACTGTGTGTAGGAGCTTATCGGCGATCTTGGGTGTCACGTCGATAGGATGTATGCCGATAGTTCGATGTTTCCGTGTGTTGTACTCCGCGATAAGGCGCGGTAACGAGTCGATCCATTGGTATGTTCCATTCAACGTAAACATTTTCCACATGTCGTTCTTTAACGTGCGGTTGAATTGTTCCACAACAGATGCCTTCATTACCGAGTACGTAGAATAATGATTAATACCATATTTTTTAAGGAGTTTCTGCAGATCTGCATTATAAAATTCTTTTCCTTGGTCCATTTGCAAATTTTTCGGACATCTTCCAGATTCTTGAAATATCCTGGCGAATACCTCGACTGCTTCTTTACCGCTCTTGCTCTTCATCGGTACAGTCCACGCATATTTGCTCAACATATCGATAACAGTGAGTATATAGGGTGTTTGATAGCTGATCATGCAGACGAAAGTTGGAGATAGATTGGGTGTAGCCGAGAAGAAAAGTCATGTATCATAATGTCAAATTGCCAATAGTTATCGAGTTATTAATTAAGACATGTGAGCCAACGAACGCGTAGAGAGCGGAGGGCGACCGCAGTAAGCACATAGACATTTGATACAGGCGGAGTCAGCGAGTGGCGGTAGGCGAGCGCGCGCGGCGAGAGGCAACGTAAACAACAAGAGACGAACGCGCGCGACGAGGAGCGAGCGAGCGCGAACGACAAGGAGCGAGCGAGCGCAAGCGACAAGAGGCGAGCGAGCGCGACGAAGAGCGAGCGAGCGCGAACGACGAGGAGCGAGCGAGCTATAAGGAAAAAGCTGTAAAGAAAAAGCTCGCTCGCTCCTCGTCGCGCGCGATCGCCTCTTGTCGCTTACGTTGCCCCTCGCCGCGCGCGCTTGTCTACCGCCACTCACTCCGCCTGTATCAAATGTCTACGTGCTTATTGAGGCCGCCCTCCGTTCTCTACGCGCTCGTTGGCTCACGTGTTTTAATTAATAACTCAGTAACTATTGCCAATTTGACATTATGGTACATGACTTTTCTTCTCGGCTACACCCAATATATCTCCAACTTTCGTCTGCATGATCAGCTATCAAACACCCTGTATAGTGGTAGCCTCCATTGAATCGCGAATAAGGACGCATCTCTACCAAGTCAGCTTGCCAAAGATCATCGTATCCGCGCACTATGACGCGTCTACGGGGAAAATATCTTCTCGCTGGAGTGTGCAACTCTTCCACCAACCGATGCTTTTCGTTACCGATGAGCGGCTTCTCTGAACTTTTCTTCTTTTTGTTAAATTTTGATGATTGTTTCGCCATTGCAGCTCGTGATGATTCGTCTCTCGCTTATGTCGATACTATATGTTAATTTACTGTAATATTCTACTTTCATATTTCTCTTGATTGTTTTATCTCTGAACGCGTCAAGTCTCAAATTTGGTCTATGTTCTCATGAATGCTATTTATGCTCTGTATGTTTTTCTTCCGGTAGTCTTCCAGCCAATCCTTCAATTTTTTAATATTCTCATCTACATACTGCTTCTTCTCAACGTTACTCTCATGTAGTAGAAGCTTTACAGCATTTATATTCTTATCAATATACTGCTTCTTCTCAACGTTACTCTCATGCAACAGAAGGTTTACGGACTTTATACTCTCATCCACATAATATTTGTGCGCAGCGTCATTGAAGTCTTCCGGCTGCGGTACAGTTATGTATCGGTACGGTTATGTATCGCGTGCATTTTTGCATCGAAACATTTGCCATCCAAACCTTTACTACTGGCAGTTAGACAAAGGGCATTTTCATATCGTTAAGGGCATTGTACATATCGTTTGGTTGCAACGTTTAAATGATATCTCACACCTGCAACACATTCTTCCACGTATCGTTTGGTTGCAACGTCACTGTCGGCTTCAGGTTGCGCTATATGTTTTATCTTGCGCGATTTTGCATTAAAAACTTTGGCATCGTTTAAACAAAGAGCATTTTCATGTACGTAATTTTTAACGTGTTCATTCCATTGATGCGCTTCGATCGGAGAACTATTGCTGTCAGGCAACACTCCAAACTTATGCGTCGACATTTCGGAGCAAGCTGTGCCGATGCTGTACCGACTGGCTGACTGACTGACTCGTGTCAGTGCAGCGCTGTTTAATTTATAATAAAACCAGCTTCGCGGAGTTCTTCGATAATCGATAAAATTTCCTTGTCATGAGCGTTGTTGCCAGCTTGGCGCGAAGCTTCAAGCAATCGCAGACGATCCACCAGCTCGTTGGGATCATCCCAATGCATGTAAATGATATTGTTATCATTTAAAGTCATCATAGCTTGCGATGCGTATAAACCTTTTCCGGCCATTTTATCGCTCGACGCATGTGATACTAGAGGCGCGATTATATGTTTATATTTGTGCCCCTTGTTACCGAGTATCGGATTTTGGGGGAGGTACCCGCGTCTGTGAGCATTCGTCGCCAATAATATACTTTTGTATTTTTGCATATCAGCCTCGGTGTACACAGAATCGTCGAGGATTCTTTTGAATATTAGCTCGTAAAGACCGGGTGTTCCAATGTATCCTGTTTCGTCTATGATTATATTATTGTCTCTGTCCACATCGATACGTTTATCACCGAGCTTCGCTCCATCGTTACTAAGACGTACACCGTAAACATAATCTATGGTGTTATATTTGCACTATTTAGCACAGCTCCCATATATTTTTTACCCAACGGACCAAAATAATCATGTAAAGTTTGTTGTCCTTTGTACGTTCGCAACTGACGTCTAACGGATGTCACTACCGATTCATCGGGGGTTTCGAAAACATTCTCATCATCATCAATGGATAGATTGTCGATCGGTGAGGGTTCATGTGGTTCCTCTCATATTGTAGAGCTCCCGTCGATGTAGGAACTATCGGAGGATCATTTAATAGTTTCCGTTTCAGCAGAATCAATGCGGCTGGTGAAAGTTTTACCTTACGCTTTATCTTTT